CGCAGGCCCAGCCTAGACCATGCTGCACACCTGGCTGGGTCTGAGCTGCAGGCCCAATTGAACAACCCTAACATTAACAGGTCTCGACGCTTTAATCCAGAACTAAACTAATGAACAACATTAATCCGTAACTTTAGTATTACCGTGTCGAATTAATCGCTGAAGCCCAGCCCAACTAAAATTAATACCCTACCTTCTATCTTTATTTTCTTTATAGCCTTAACTTAAGCGTGATGATTATTCTCATTTTTATTAACCCTTTACAGCGTTAACTAAATCGCTGAAGCCCAGCCCAAGTAAAATTAATCGCTGTTACCGTAAAGTAATGATGATGAATGGACTTCTTTTTATTTTTATTTTCATTTTCATTTTTTTAATATAATTGGACGAGCCATTTAGCTAGAAATAATATCCAATGTAAACGTGGTTAATTTACTTGGCAATATTTGTTGTATTAACCTCGCTTAGGTCACTAGACACTAGAGAAGGAAAACACAGTTGGAATGTTTAGAGTTAATTGTGCAGAGATCCTTGGCAATATTTGAATATCATAGGGTCTAAGTTCAAATAACAAATTTTTTTGGTTAATAAATGATTAATCCCCTGTAATATAGAGGGTCCATCTACCGCTCAGCTGTTTTAGTTTGAAATTTTAAAAATTGGCTCAACGGACTCGTCTGGCCTCTGGATTACAGGGGATAAGGGTAATTGTCCAAAAGTTTTGTTACAATTAGTTTAGATCTAATGATATTCAATTGAATGAGGGTAACAATCCTGATAACTGATCACCTTTTGGGAAATTCTCAGTGTTGGTTTTAAGCAAATGCTCACGCTTTGAAGGGATCCAAGGCGACGATACCATTCACAAATAGTAAATACATTTAATTTCGAGAAAATACTGAACGCAAACTGCTCATCTACGTTTCTGTGCTTACTTATTTATACATCCAATCATGCCGGATCAAAATTTATTTACATATTTCGAACACCATCAAGGTCAGAGGTATGTCTCATACATGCATGTAGAAGAGTTTACAAAGAGCTCATACAATTTCTAGCATCAGCTGAACGCATAACTTGCGTCGAACCAAACAAAAACTTACAAAACAACTAACGGAACTCTAGTTCAATAGCTTATTGCAGAAGCGAGAAAAATGACGGTGTATCTTTTAGATGAGAGAATCAATGCCGTCTTGATGAAGGAAGCGACGGAAGAAGGCAATAATACATCCTCTCCATGCGCGAAATAACAGCAAGCTTGTCCGCTTTCTCAAGCTCTGACCTCCCCAGTGCAGCTATATCTTCTCTCAAGCTGCCAAGAAATTGTTAACACCATTAGAGTTAGAATTGCCCTTTTTATTTTTAAAATTGCAGAGAGGAAATTTAAGAAAGTAAGCTAACCTTAGCCATTCTCCAGTTTCCCTAGCATGCCTTTCCACTGCTTTGTAAAGCCGATCAAGGCTATATAGCACCAATCCAAACATGCATTGAGCATCTTCCTCCTGTAATGCATGATATAATAGTGCAAAACATGACATTAATGATGGATATATTAGATATATTGGCAACGACAAAGAACGAGTAGAGAATATGGTAGATGTAAGCTTGGGAAACATAATGATGACACCAAATTATATTAGCTCAGTAAGATCTAAAACACTTAAATGGGAACAATAATGAATCAATCACTGTAACAAAATCCAGTCTTAAATCTTCTGCAGAAATGGCTATGACTTTACCTTTCCTTGATCCATGCAACTATGGAGTTGCATTATCCGTTTCTCAACTTCAACGAGAAGAAGTCTCCTCTGAATGCGAGCAGCCCTTCCTCTACCTTCTGCGCCTTTGTCCTGATTATAACAAATCAAGCTAGTTATATGGCATTTAAACAGACTTAAGAATAGATTTAAAAAAATGATGTTGCACTTGATAATTAGTGAAGACACAGAAATATGAAAAGAACTAAGTTATCAACTATAGCTGCTAAAACAAACAATTTTTTATCAACTTTTTTCTATCTCGACCCATTGGCAATTAAAAGCGCGGACTTCAAAATTCATAGTTTTCATGAGTAACAACCCATGATATTTTTCATTTTGTCCGTTTCGACCCAATAGCAATTAAATGAGCGCACTTCAAAAATATTGGTTTCCATGATATATAACTCACAATTTTCAGGCATTTTTCCAACCTAATAGCAATTAAGTGCTAGACTTCAAAATTTGTAATTTTCATGGGCTATAACTCACGTTTTCCCCTTTTTTGTCCATTTCCGCCCTATGGGATTAATTGCGTCTAGTTCACAATTCTTGATTTACATGGGTTATAACACACAAGTTTTGATCGTTTTTGTCTGTCTCGACCCAATAGGAATTAAGAGTGCGGTCTTCAGAATTTGCAATTTCCATGGACTATATAAGCCACAATTTTTTTCTATTTTTGTGTATTTCGACCTCATAGCAATTCAATGTGCGTACTTTAAAATTCTCAATTTCATAGACTATATATAAGCCTGTAACTCATGATCGTTGGTCATTTTTACTCATAACGACCCAATAGCAATTAAGTCATGCATTTTCCATTTTTTTCTTTTCCACCCGATGGTATTAATTGAGCGTAATTTAAAATTCTCAATTTCCATAGGCGATAACTCACAATTTGTTATCTTTTTTATCTGTCTTGAACCAATAGCAATTCAATGTGCAGACTTCAAAATTCACAATTTTTATGGGCTATAACCCACAATTTTTTTATTTTTGTTCGTTTCGACCCAATATCAATTAAGTGCTCATAACTCAAAATTCTCAATGACCCTAAACTATAACTATAATTTTTGGTCATTTTTGTTCGTCTCGGTCCAATTGTAATTAGGCATGTGAACTTCAAATTTTGCTATTTTTATTGGCTAACCTATGATTATTTGCATTTTTGTCCATTTGAACCATATGATAATTAGGTGCGCCTACTTCAAAATTGTCAATTTCCGTTGGCTACACAATTTTTTGGTCACTTTCGTTCATTTTGACCCATTAGCAATTAAGAGCACGAACCTCAAATTTGCAATATTCAGGGGGCTATAATCCAATTTTTTTCCCCATTTCTATATCACCCCCATAACAATGAGATGACCATACTTCAAAGTTCTTTATTTCTATGGCCTAAATCACGATTTTCGATCATTTTAGCCCATCAAAACACAATAACAATTAAGCGCGAATTTTCATGGACCATATCTCATAGCTTTTTGAGTTTTGTCCATTCCAACTCAATGACAATTAAGCCATGCACAGCTGAAAATTCTTGATTTGCATGGGCTATAATGCATGTTTTTGGTCAATTTTATTTGTCTCGACCCTATGGCAATTGCGCAATCAGACTTAAAATTTCACAATTTTCATATGCTATAATCTATAATTTTTTACAGTCTTGTCCATTTTGATCCAATGACAATTAAATGTGCGTACTTCAAAATTGTAGATATTCATGGGCTATAACGTACGATTTTTGGTTATTTTTGTCCATCATGCTCTAGTGGCAATTAAGAGCAGACTTCAAAATGCGCAAATTTCATGGGCATACTTCAAAATTCTCGCTTTCGATGGGCTATAATATGAGATTTTTGATCATTTTTGCTTATCTCAACCTAATACCACAAATGCGCGTAACTTCAAAATTCGTAAATTTCATTAATTATAGCTCATGATTTGCGATCATTTTTTCCATATGGACCAACTATCAGTTATGAGCGCAATTTTTAAAATTTTTAATTTTCGTGAGCTATAAACCACAAGCTTTTCTATTTTTGTCCATTTTGACCCAATGACATTACTTGCGCACTTTAACATTCTCGGTTTTCATAGGCAATAACTCATGATTTTTGGTCATTTCTCCCGTCGTTGATCCAATAATAGTTAACGCCAGATTTCAAAGTTTAAAATTCACAATTTTATAAACTATAACCCATAATTTTTTCATTTCTGTTTATTCTGACCCAATGGCAATTTAGTGCGCATAATTCAAAATTCTCAATATCCATAGTCTTAACTCATTTTTTAAGCATTTTTGTCTATCTCGACTTGATCGTAATTAGGCACGCAGACCTCAAAATTCGCAATTTCACGAATTATAACCTACGACTTTATTGCATCTTTGTCTATTTTGATCATATGACAATTAAGTGCGTTACCTTCAAAATTGTCAACTTCCATTGGCTGTAACAAACTTTTTTTGGCCACTTTTGTCCATCTCAACCCGTTGACAATTAAGAAAGTGGACTTCAAATTTTGCAATTTCTATAGACTATATAACCGACATTTTTTTTCCATTTGTCTATATCGACCCAACGATAATTAAATTAGCATACTACAAAGTTCTCTATTTCTACAACCTGACTTATGATTTTTGGTCATTGTGACACATCACGACCTAATAGAAATTAAGCGTGTATACTTTAAAATTCATGATTTTCATGAATTAGAAGTCTTATAACCCCACTGTTTTTCCATTTTTGTCCCATTTTAACTCCATGACAATTAAGTACGCATAGTTGAAAGTTCTCGATTTGCATGGGCTATAACACATGCTTTTTTCATATATGTTTGTTTAGAATCAATGGCAATCAAGTGCGCGTACTTCAAAATTCTCAATTATCATGGGCTACAACATAATTTTTCGTCAATTTTGTCCGTCACGACTCTACAACAACTGAGCAAGTGACTTCAAAATTCGCAATTTTCTTGGGCTATATAATCCATGTTTTTTCAGTTTTGTTTATTTCGAGTCGACATAATGACAATTAAGTGCACGTACTTCAAAATTGCTTCATGGACTATATAACACATGATTTTTGGTCATTTTTGTCTATCATAAGATTCATAACCCAATTGCAATTAAGACGACTTAAAAAATTCTTGATTTCCTTAGGCTATATAAAACACGGGATTTTTGGTCATTTTTGTTTGTCTCGACCCGATACTACTTAAGTGTGTTGACTTCAAAATTTCATAACTTTCATGGGATATAGCTCATGATTTTTTCATTTTTATCTTTCTTCACTAACTAGTAATTAAAAGCACGGTCTTCAAAATTAACAATTTTCATAGACTATAACTAATAAGCTTTTCCATTTTGTCCACTTTGATCCAATAACATTATTGCGTACTTTAAATTCTCAATTTTCATGGGCAACAACTCACAATTGTTTAGCATTTTTACCCATCACGACCCAATAGTAATTAAGCACCCAAACTTTAAAATTCCCAATTTTCATGGGCTATAATCTACAGTTTCTCCATTTTTGTTTGCTTCGACTCAAGTGACAGTTAAGTGCACGTAGTTGAAAATTTTTTATTCCCATGGGCTATAACTCACAATTTTTAGTCTTTTTTGTCCGTTTTGACCCAATAATAATTAGGCACGGGGACTTCAAAATTGGTAATCTTTATGGGCTATACCTTCATTTTTTTGCAATTTTGTCCATATTGAGCATATGCGATATGGCAATTAAGTGCGCCTACTTCAAAATTGTCGATTTCTATTTGCTATAACACAATTTTTGTCACTTTTGTCCATCTCGACCCATTAGCAATTAAGAGCACGGAGTTCAAAATTCACAATTTTTTATGGACTATTATCCATATTTTTTCTATTTATCTATTTCAACCCAATAGCAATTATATGAGCAGACATTAAAGTTCTCTATTTCTAGGTGCTAACTCACTATTTTTGACATTTTAGCCCCTTAGACCCCTTAGCAATTAAGCGTGCAGGTATCAAAATTCGTATTTTATGGGCTATAATCCAAGCCTTTCCCATTTTTGTCTGTTTCGACTCAATGATAATTAAGTGCGCGTAGTTGAAAATTCTTGATTTCCATGCTCTAGTCACATAGCTAGAATTTTAAACCTTTTATTTCAGTAACATGGGCTGGAATTTTAAGCCGCGTGTTCAACCCAAATTACCCACATTTTTGCTCCTTGCCTTTTAGTTTAGACATCATATGGGATTAGCCACATGTCCAACCCATATTACTCTCAACCTTTTGTTCTTATCCTATTAGTTTAGACATCACATGGACTTTATGCTTCCAACCCAAATTGCCCAAGTGTTTACTCCCAACTATAGTCACGGAGGCTTTATTTTAAGCCTCGTGTCCATGCTGTTTGGGTGCGTAGCCACACGCGGTACGTAGCCAACATGGGTACATGTCCCATCCCACCGTGTTGGAGTAACCTAGGCTACAAGTCTAGATTTTTGGTCATTTTTGTTCATCTCAATCTTTGTCACATTAGTACTTTCTTCATGAAGTCGTACCCATAGCAGACACAGACCGGACACATACTCATACCTAAACCTCATGGCCACTCTTTGAATATGTGCACCCATTTATTTAGACATGTACTCAATTATATGATATATGTTTTAATTTGAAACACTTGTCGTACACTTCTTGGATGCATATCCTATATTCACATTCATTTCTTGAAACTCGATAGAAATAGGCCAGGTTCGTTTCAACCTATACCCAAGTCCAAAACTATGATTTTAAAGGGTCGATTGGGTGTTAAAAACAAGCCGTTTCCAACTTATAATAATCAACATAATAGAAGAAACTTAAATTGTGATAAGAATTATAATTTTAATAACATAATGATCTGAAAAATAATAATGATCTCATGTAAATTATTAATATAAATTAGTGTTATTGCATGTGCAGATGCATGCGCAATTAACGTTAATACTTATATATTCTATTTTTAATAGAAAAGTTACTTTCATACCCAAAAGTTTCACTTATTTTTATTTTGGTCTCTTGAAGTTGAAATTTATTAAAAAAAACATTCTTATAAAATTGAGACGTAAAAATTAAGTAATTAGAACATGCATTAAATTATACTAAATATATCACTAAAAGTATTGTAAACAGTACTTTTTTACAATAATATATAATATAAAAAAGTATTAATCTCTTCATTTCCAAGTTGCTAGGAAGAAAGAAAAATTTATCTTATTTTTATGCATCAACTTTTGATATTTTCTAAACTTTCTAAGAAAAAATTACATTTTTCTAATAGATGAAAATAAATACTCGTTCATGGAAAGTTGACTTTTTACCATAACAATTTGTACATTAAGCTATTAAAATACACATTTTTTTGTTCCATAAAAACTTAGTTATCTTCAGGAGGAAAACTCAATGATGCAATGAACCTTTCATGTAAACTCTTCTACTAGGGAAATAAATGCATTAGACATTTTCATGCAAAAAGATTATGTTGGACTGCTAGACAAAAAGTGAATTTTTTTTTCATTATTTGAATTGTGTGGACAGTATGAGGATAGAAGAGCAAAAATGGTAATAGGAAAAGGACAAAAAATTTGAAGGATAATCACTGTAGCAGTGAATAAAGTCTCTATGTATATATATACATATATATAGGGTTGAGGTAGGCTACTATTAATAGTATCCAACATGCAGGTACTATCAACCCAATTTTAAAAATCAAAACTCAAAAATAAAAATCCAAACCGGTGGATGTGATCTACTACACATGAGCTATTTAGCAACAAAATTTTAAAAGATTTCAACATAATTAACTCATGCATAATATGTCATCAAAATCGAAGTTTCAGAATTTTCAGAAAGTTGCTTAATTTCTCGCCTCTTGATATATGATTCAAAACAAATCGAAATCCTTCCAAACTTTTTTGTTAGATAGTTCATGTGGTAGATCACATCCACATGTTTGGCTATTCATTTTCTGGGTTTCGATTTTCAAAATTCGGTCGATAGTATAATAGTATTTGTATTAGATACGACAGATAGTAGCATACGACATGAACGTTTTCAACTCGTATGTCGGTTTTCAGGGTCAAATCGGAAATATCAGGGTCATATCGGGCATATCGACCTATTTTTTAGTTTTGAAAAATCGATCGATATGGTACTTTTTTTAAGATCTATTTTTTGTTATCAGGTTTGGGTTTAGTGATAAATACCCAAACCCGTCTGACCTGTTCTCATGTTTAAGGGTTTCTTATGAACCCGATAGAAAGAATTTATGAACCCAAATCCATATATTATTTACTTTTTTATATGTTTAGTCTATAGAATTTATAAAGTATGCTTATATTGAATTTATGAATGCTTAGATTACATTTAGGATATGATATTACACAATATGCGCCACTACCCGATATGGCAATCCGATGATGTTAATCAATAAGTCGCCCGCGATATATCCCGATTTCTCGGTATCGACATGAAATTTCAGCCATCTGACATCGAACCCGACATCCGACATTTAAAAAACCGTGATATATATATATATAAATATATATATCAGTATATATATATTATATATATATATATAATATAGTATAGTCGTGTGTCTTCGTACCTATATTTTACAAATTTATCGTGTTCCATACTCATACCCGCACCCGTATTAGTATTCGTACTCATTTCCATGCAACCTAGGTCTTCACCTTATGACAATTGAGTGAGTGGACTTCAAAATTCAGAATTTTTATGGCCGACTCATAATTTTTTGCAATTTTGTACATTTCGATCCAATGGCAATTAAGTGTGCATATTTCAAAATTGTCAATTTTCATGGGTTATAACACATGATTTTTTATCATTTTTGTTCATCTCCACTCAATGTCAATTAAGAGTGTGAACTTTAAAATTTATAATTTTCAAGGGCTATAACCTACAATTGTTTCCATATTTGTTTGTTTCGAATCCAATAACAAGTAGGTGAGTTTCCTTCAAAATTCTCGATTTTCATGGGCTATAGCATGCAATTTTTTGTCATGTTTGTACGTCTCGACCTAATAGCAATTAAGTGTCATTTCAAAATTCATAATTTTCATGGATTATATAACCTACGATTTTTATCGTTTTTGTCTATTTTGGCCCAATGACATTAATTGCGCATAGTTCAAAATTTTCAATCTCCATAGGCTAGAACACAAGATTTTATGTTATTTTTGTCAATCTCCACCCAATAGCAATTAAGAGCGCGGTCTTTAAAATTTACAATTTCCATTGGCTATAATCTACCAAGTTTTTCCTATTTCCTCCATTTCAACATAATTAAGTGGGCGTACTTTAAAACTCCACTTCCATAGGCTAACTCACAATTTTTTCATTTTTGTTCAACAAAACCCAATAGCAATTCAGCACTCAACTTCAAAATTTACAATTTTCACGAACTTAACCCACAAATTTCCATTTTTATCTATTTCAACCTATTGACAATTAAGTGTGGGTAGTTGATAATTCTTGATTTTCATGGGTTATAATGCATGATCTCAGATCATTTTGTTTGTCTCAATCCAGTGGCAATTAAGCACGCTATCTTCAAAATTCGCAATTTTTATAAGCTATAATCCACAGTTTTTAATTTTTTTCAACCTAATGGCAATTAAGTGTCAATACTTCAAATTTCTCAATTTCGATGGGTTATCACAATGTTTTTCATTTCTGTCCTCTTGACCCAATGGTAATTAAGCATATGGAGTTCAAAATTCGCTATTTTTCATAGGTTGTAACCATGATTATTTGCATTTTTTGTTAATTTCCACCACCTTGAAATCAAATGCGCCTACTTCAAACTTGTTGATTTTCGTGGCTTATAGTGTATGATTTTTAATCATTTTTACTGATCTTGACCTAATGGAAATTAAGAGGGCAGACTTCAAAATTCGCAATTTTTATGTGCTATAACCCACTATTTTTTCCAACTTTTATGGTTCCGACCCAATAGCAATTAAATGAGCTTACTTCAAAATTCTCGATTTCAATGAGCTATATAACTCACGATTTTTGAACTTTTATGCTCGTCATGACCCAATAAAAATTAAGCACTCTAGGGCTTCAAAATTTGTAACTTTCATGGGCTATAACTCACATTTTTCTCTATTTTTTCTGTTTTGACTCAATGACAATTAAGCATGCATAGTTGAAAATTATTGATTTCCGCAAGCTATAATGCACAAAATTTTCCCATTTTTATCTATTTCAAAGCAATTGCAATTAATTGCACATACTTCAAAAGTCTCAATTTCCATGGTTTACAACTCATGATTTTTGGTCATTTTTGTTCGTCTTGACCCAATGGCAATTTAGCGCATGGGCTTCAAAATTCGCAACTTTCATGGCTATAACCCACATTTTTCAGTTTTGTCTATTTCAACCCAAAAGCAATTAAGTGTGCGCACTTCAAAATTATCAATTTTCATAGGCCAGTTTACCAAAGGTGCAAGCGTCATTGCGCCTCATGCGCCCTATGATGTGAGGTGGTGGCAAAGCGTCCAACAATTTTTGCGGCTCGCAAGAGACATGCACTTCACACAGGGCCGATGCAAGGCATAACCTTATGTATTTTTGTTCTTTATCATTTCAACCGGATCTTTATACCAAATAAACCATATCCTATATAACAAAATAAACTCATTGGCCCTCTTTTTAGTAGGCCGATTAGGGACCCTAAATTTTGCTTCAATATTAGTCTTGATTTGACTTCTGATTTGAAATTTTATGAACTTTGATGCTATGTTATATGTCTTAGCATTAGGAATTAAGCCCTTAATTTGTGATTTTACAGTATGTATTATCTGTCTTGACATATTTTTTATTTGAGAATACATAAACATGTTCTTTCGTGTTTGATTATCTTGAAAAATTACCTGCATGGTGTGCAACTCGCTTCACATGGGCACGCGCATCACATTGTGCCTTGCACATATGCGCACAAAGGGAACGAATTTACCGCATTGTGCCTCACACTTGATAACACTGGTTAATACAGGATTCATGTCTGGAGAGGATCCAAGAGATCAAACTTCCCTTGAAAACAGAAACTTGGAAGGTAATCTCAAAGAGCTTTCTATCTTTCTTTCTAGATTTCCAGTAGTGAACATAATAGAGTTAAGTTTATCTATCTAATCAAGAAGAAACGATCCTGCTCTAGTCATTGTACACTTTACAAAATATCAACATTGGTCAAAGAATATCATTGAAGCTAGTGCAAAGACATTCAATTTCACAATATTCATCTCTCTTAATAATAAGTTCATTATGAAGATGGAGAGAAATTGCAAGATGACTTAACATGGACCACTCACCTTCATAGCCCATGCCCGTACTAACATGAGCAAGAATAATGAAAGAAAAAAGGCTGGTAAGGCAGCAAGAATAGCAAAGTTAATTTCATTTGCCTTGAGTATTTGATCCAGTTCAAGCATTGCCCTACCCAATATCAAAAATATCTCTAGTGAGGTTATAGAGTTGCATGAAAAATTTATGAGCTTCAGCTTAATGGAAGTATCAAACTCACATTTCAAGGTCCAATTTTAGCTTTTGAATCTGCAAATCCATGACCTTTAGTCAAATAGAATGTAGAAGACTCAAGTACAAATATTAGATATCAAAGAAAGAAATTACCTGAATAAGCAAGGCCCGAGCAAGCTCCCCATTGAGAAGGTTTTGAATTGGATGCATCAGCTCCTTCTCATATCTGCAGTAAAATGAATATGAACTGGATCATCCATCATATGCTCACTGGCAGTGCAAATACCCCTAGGTTTTATTGGCTGGAAAATAATAACAAACATGAATCACTAGTTCCTCTAAGAATAAAGTGGTGAATTTCTTCCATTGTAGCACAAACTGACGAACATGTAACAGTTCATGTGAAAATTCCAAAATATCTTATATCAATTACGCGTTGTTATTTAACTGTATACAAGTACAAAATGTCATTTGACATAAACAGGTAACTGATGAATGGTTTATGACTAACTGAAATCATAATAATAACAAAGCCAAGTGCATACCATCAAAAAAAAAGTCAAATACATTATAGCATTAGAGTTTGTTATTGAAGAAATATATGAGTCAATTCAAGGAACTTACATTTAGGTAAAAAATTCAACAGTTTTTTCATTAAAGGACTAGACATATGAATTTTTTTTTCTGTATTCAGCTCTTTTACCAAAATAAAGGGAAGGTGCAATGTACCTATCCATGACAATTTCCATCATATCCTGATCTGAAAGATTATCCGGAAGCTTTTGACCTTTTGTTTGCTCACCGAATGCCAACAACATTCTGCAATTCCAGAATAACGAACAATAAATAAAGGAAATACAAAACGAGGTTAAGCTCTATATAAGTATAAAAAATCAAATGACAGTATTTTGCAACTGACAGATATTTATTCAGCGACCATGGCCACTACAGCTATCGAATCCACCCCCTTAGATCCTAGATCATGCGCTGGCTGATCTTGGGCTGCAGTATGAGGCCTATATAATAAATGGGTGGGGGTAGCGACTACTGGTACAAGGAATAGCAAAACTTTCATGACTATTATGCAAGATACACAAGGTCATTTTTTTTATTATGCAACAAGATAGGGTTCATACTTCAAATTCCTTGATTATGTGCTTAAGTATAATCTGTATAATCTATAGTGGAACTTGTATTACTAGCCCACCCAGAGCACATATCAACAAGACACTTCTGAACATGTATTTGCCATTTTAGTTGCTATTTCAAAACTTAAATTGTCACATTATGTTGTTCTTCATCATGACCCACTCAAAAGTCTGTGACCATGCTTCCTAATGTACATAAATGATAAACTAATACACATCCAAGTTACTAGACATGCAAGATATAGGTTATCATAAAACAACTGGAAAGAATGAGTCACCAGAGGATTTACAGAGTCAGTTTACTTTGAGAGATATTCTCAATGGAATCAAATAGGCTGTTTGATTCATTTCCAGTGTTGTTCACAAACAAGATTCATACTGACTGAAAAAGCTGAAACTTGCAAGAAATGCATTGCTAAACCTGTGAAGAGAATCTGAAGTCAGCTGAACCTCTTCAACTTCCATAACACCTTTTTGTCTTCCTCTGAAAGTCTCAAAAAGATCGTCTCTAATGGAAATAAGCTGAATTTAAGAGAGGACATACAATCAGTTCTACTGTCGCATTTGTGCCCTCTAGCCAATTTTAAAATGCAGTCAGGCCAGTAAACCAACCAACATATTCTGAAGCTACATAGAATGTAGCACAGCAAAATATGCAATAATAAACACAAGATTCAAGATATCCAAGAGATGAAAGGTACTGAAATCAAATGAGCAAGCATAATGAAAAGACTACAAAAGATAAGGCTGAAAGTTTCTGGTAAAAAGACTACATCACAAAGAATTATAACTTTATAACCAAGACACTCTAAATATAATAAAATGACCGCTGCGCAAAAGTGCTCCCTCTCAATAGGCATCAAACAAATACAAACAACTAATTTGCAATTTTCACAATTTTAGTAATTGTTAGAGTGCAACGGTCAGTTGAAACTTAAAAACAAACTTCACTGCCAAACATCAATAGGAGGAGTCCAATCAAGATATTAAATCCTTCACCATCCCTTCATACATTGGACACCCTGAAGAATAAAGGATGAACACAGATACTTCTAGTACAAAGCAAAGAAAAGTTTGTGAAAACGGTAAAGAATCATAAAGTTGTAGTAGAAGAGAACAAGAAACCATAAGGGTTCATGATGGTATTGCCAAGACTCATATAACCACATTGAAACCTGTCTAATCCTGAACATTTTACTTCCAAATTCACATTTCATGCATCTGCTTCCTAGCGTATGTCCATGTTTTTGGTCAGAACTCCAATACTCCACCTCACATGGCTAAACTTCCTCAAATCCGTAGCTTCAGCTTAGAGAAGAAAGAATTCATTACTAGCATACAAACTAAAACTGTAGGAAAAAAATTAATCATTTCCCATGATGGAGCGATTTTAGGTATTCTAGTTGCTAGTATTCGTTCATAAGTACATTGAAAATACTCAAATTGTTTTCTGATGAAGAAAACTGTAGGCATGAATAAACTAACATAGTGAAAGTTGATCCATTGAAGCCAGATGAATCTATTGATGATAGTGCTTGACAAAAAATGAAAAACAAGCGAAGACTCTCTTCTAAAGAGAAATTATAAGTTATAACCTTGTTTCACTGTCATAATCTAATAGTTAAAGTCGAAACAAAAATAAATGTAAAAGAGTGAAGCTTAATCATACTGGTTGTTCAACATGCTCTTTCCAAAATCCAGCAGTAGATTCTTTTGCTTCACGTATCCAATTGTCAATATTAGGACTTCCCATTAAACGACTATGGCGCAATAGCCAAACTGAACATGCTGAGAGGCCAACTGCTCCACAGGTATAATGCAACCAGTACAAGGTCAATTTTCTGGGTTTCTGACACCTGGAAAGCTAAAACCACATAAAATAATACATGATTAAATGTATAATACAATAGGAGAACTCAAATAAAGTAATACATCATACAACACCCAGAAAACAAGGCAAGTTACTACTAACTTACTACGACATGAAATAAATTTCTATGGTCATGTTCTGGTTTGCTTTTGCTTACAAAAAAGTGTTTTTTAGAACTCAATTCTCCATAAACACTTTCCTAAATGTGCTTATATGCAAGGTCATCATGATCTAAGCCTTTCTTTTTAAAAGGTCAGCTATGAGGGATAATGCAAATTGAGAAAGATTGACAGAAGAAAACTAAGTTTTCCCCTGACCAGCAGTCAACCTCTGATGGTTGCTAACTTCTTAAAGGAAACTTTATGTGAAAGCCATGTGGCTAAGAAGTAAAATTGCCTTTTGGTTTTACAGTTTAATTTCATGCAAGGAGGAACTCTCCAGATTCCTTCAAACTGAGACAGTTCGATAAGATGATAAAATTTGCTACAGTGAACCATGTTCATAGCTGAGGTAAAGACAACAAAGAGCCCTATGAATCACATTCCTGTAAGAAGATGTGTTTGTATAAGGACTTTAATGAAATTGTAATGCGTGCTGAAATAAATTCAGTATATACTAGAAAATAACTTCTCCCTTCACCCTGCCAAGTTACAATTATGCTGAACATTTTAGCCTTGAGAAAAGTCAATTAGACAAATTAGAAATTGATAACTAAAAAATAGCTTAGTTTCTAGAACCATATTGGCTTCACAGTTGCTCAAAATAACATCAAATCTTTCACGAAACCTTCTGCAGTAAAGTGGCCCAATTTTGGAAAGAAAAGTCTTAGATGATGATAATGATGATGGTTGAACATTGCCACATTTTGCAATAGAAACAAGTTGGAAGCAATGTGAGCAGTCATTAGAATCTTATGTTCCACTAAGACAAAGCACGGAAATGTGCAGATGCATAGATAATGTTGGAATATAAGCAGTAATTTGAATCATTGTCAATTATGTCACAGTTTCTAAATCCTATATTCAAATGTAGAGAGAAAACTAGTAACTACTTATGAGAAAACACTCACAACAAAAGATAGATATGAATCTAGTTTTTTAAGATTCTGATGAACCAGATTCATTGCATCCTTTATTTCGGTATCTGTCCATTGTGATTCTTCCTGGCCTATCTCAGGTAACTTTTCAAAGATAAGTGCACATGAGCTTCCCTCTTCCACGACAAATGAATTATCGCTCTGGATTAAAAATAAATCAGGTAAATTAGACCAGAGATCTACTTTATGCCAGGCAGCAAGATAGATATTAAACAATGTGTAACTGAAAGTTACCTTGTAGATTTCAGGCGGATGGCTAATTGAAGCTTCCAGTTTTGAGAAAATGCTATTGATTGCTACTAGAAATTGGGGTAACAACTTGTCAGAGTCCTCAGTCAGCTGTTGCCCAAATTTATTTACCTCCAAATACACCTAAAATAACCATCAGTAAAACTGTTACCTGACTAGCAAGTGGCATATATTTTGAATGTTATGCCACAAAACGACATTAAGTAATTTATGAAAACCATTAAACAAACTAGATGAACAGATTCTTAGAGTGAAATGAAATACGAAGTAAAAGCATAAAACTATCAACATAACTAGATCAGATAGCAACTGTATTGACATACACGAGACTAAACAACGGCAGAAGATGGCAGAAACTAACTTGGTCGATAAATGACTTCGCATTCAGTAAACATCAGCTGCAATAAATGAATCAGCTTAGTGCAAAGTGCAAACCTCAGCAAGGAAAGTTGCCAAGCAACTCTGCAGACTTTTCAAAACAGCTATGTTTGCAGATATTGTCTCGGCAGCAGAATGAGACAAGTGGCCGAAAGGAGAACCCTGAGTACCGAATCTAGTTATAATCCGACACGTTCCGTCAACAAAAGCCCGTGGTCCTCTTTGCAAAATCATAAAGGATATTTTCTGCCTACTTGTTCCCTACAGATAGATTATTGAATTACATCAGCAAAAAAAAGGACAAATTTTGAAAACAGACCTCTTTGCATAAATATTCCCAAAAAAAGACCCGTTTCCACTTTATTTTTAAAAAACGACCTAGTTTTAGCCTCAGTGCTGAAACTGGGTCGGTTTTTGGGAAAAATGTTCTCAAACTTCACGGGTGTTCAACTACCATGAAGTTTTTTCATAACAAAACTTCATGAGGCTTCAACTCCCATGCACGGGAGTTCAACTCCCGTTCAACTCCCGTGAAGTTTGAGAACATTTTTCGCAAAAAACGACCCAGTTTCAGTCCTGAGGCTGAAACTAGGTCATTTTTTGTGAATATTTTTAAAACAGGTCTTTTTTTGGGAATATTTTTGTAAAGGGGTCTGTTTTAAAATTTTGTCCACAAAAAAAATTAATAAAAACATAGCTGCATAAAGTGGGGCAATGGAAACCTCAGCTAGGGATTGCCAGAACAACAAGCTCTTCTGTATGCTATGCAGGCTCGACAGCGTGTGATCGATGATATCTTCTAATATCAAAATTGTGCTGGAAGTGTCGGTGGCAATCCTACAGACACAATACACAAACCTTGCAATGTGATGTACGTGCAGAAGCTAACAAAAAATATTTTAATATCAGATTTAATGAATTAAACAAAGTTTTCCCTTCATTGGTGTACAATCACAAAGCTAGCCGATTAACCAAACAAACAATTCCACTGAAAATAAACACCGATTACGTCAACAAATAGAAGAAGAAAAAACTCACAAGGAGGATTGGATAGAGTCGGAGCCCAGAGGAAGAGGGAGCCCCAGCTTTCGCCTCCGAGATCGAGAAGGCAGAATCTTTGGATAGAGATTCGAGATTTTGGCGAGGAGACTCGAGTCTGCGGAGGGGAGAAGCTTGACGAAGGATCTCCAGATTCCGTTCGAGTAAGAGATGATGAGGGACTTGGCACCGGTTGAAGCTGCCATTTCCAAATGGTTTCTAAAGTTGCACGCTCTGGGATCTGTGACCGTGAGTGTTTGGGGAAGTTGACGTGATGGATTCGGGTCGGATTCGATCCAGACCCGGTTGCAGAATATAGAGGAGGAAACTGAAGTGTTGAAGGGTAAATTTCATGAAACTACCATGAGACCAGAACGTGTCATTTGCATCCGCAGGCACCACTTCCCAGTGAGTAGGGGTGCACTCGATCCGGATACGGCTCGGATATGATGCTTATCATATCTATATCCGTTTACCCATCTCGGATATGAATACGTATATACCCCGGTAAGGAAAATTCATAACCATATCCACTAAAATCGGATAAGGTTACAGATATACATGTGGATATATGAGCATATATGCATGTGGATACAAAACGCATATGAGAAAACTAAATAGTACAGAGAAAAACATAGTTCATGTGATACAAAAAAGTTAATTATATGTTCATTATAATTAAAAAGTTAAGATTAGATATCTTGATCATTAAAATTATGGGAAAAATGCTT